AAGTCTGCTTCTTTACAAACGTACAGATCAACATTAACACGGTTTTGGTACTTCCTGCTTGTATCTAGCAAGTGTGAAGTTATTTTGACTGCATGGCATTTTGTCTACCACCTTCTAATCTGAGTATAATGGAATGTAATTCTCCTCTACATGGAAAATTGATCACGATCGGAGTGCTTCTTAACAGCATCCTTGCATAGTTTTGCGGCCCCCTCGTCTTTCCTAACTTTTAAAGCCTCTTTACTTCCCATCTGTACAACCAGTTTGCAGTTTTCATCTTCGCTTATCATGCCTTGATTTATCACAACTCTATTGTCTACAGTCTTTTTTGAATCCGCTGTTGTGTTTTTGCCTTTCCATTTCAATCCACTGTGCGGCTTGCCAAAGCCTCTTCGTTCTTCACTTTTACTTGTAGTGTACTGCGATAATGACATCGTTGGCAAAGCCTTTTCTCCCTCTTCACTCCTTCTTTCAGTTAATGGTGTTAATGTTATTTGTGCCCACGGCCGAGTACAAATGTCTCGTGACAAAACATTTTTCTCGATTTTCGAAATTTTTGGACTAAGGAAAGATTCTTGGGTTGTAGACTACTTTCGATTTTCGTGAAATTTATTTGTGGATTTATGAATTAAACCAGGATTTGAAATTGCTTTTTCGATTTCACAAACTTTTAAAAGCGATTTGTCTATGAGATATTGATTCTGAATATTTTTCGGATTTGCACAATATTATTTTTTAGATTGTCCCTTTTCGGCTTCCGTAATAAACTGTTTATAGTATTTCGTCTTCACGCTATATCAGTTTGAATGAAAACGCTAATTTTCCTTATTTAATACTTTAAGGTTGCCGTATCTTGTTCTTTAACTGTGATTATTTATTAAACTGATAATTAATAAACACTTGTTTTGTAGATGGCTTGGCAAAAACAAGATTAAGAAGTTGTGTGCTGATTTATTTACTCCATTAGAGAAGCTACAGATTCTGTAAGTCAGGAAGCTTGTATATCGATCTTCTTTAACTTGACAGGATTTTAACTTTTCCTTTAAATTTTTCCAAGCAAGCTTTTCTTTTTTTTTTCATATCTTTGGTCCCCGAGTAGTTAAGTGCGCTTTTATCCTTGCAATCTGGTTGGCTCTTATCGGTGCGATTTATTTACGAAATTGCACAATTTTTTTTCCTAGCTTCTGGGAAATTTTATAAAAAAAATAACTACCAATTCTATTTCAAGGCTTGATTTAAGAAACCAATAAAATTGGAAGAAAATGAAAGACAACTCTTGCAACTAAAAGCAAACATACACCGAAAAAGGGAAAACAACTGACCAAAAGTCTGGCTTCCAAAAACAGATACGAAAGTATGAACCAGAGCCCCAGAGTAACGGCCTTCTCGAGGAGTTTGACGCAACATTTCGTAAGAAAGACAGAAGGAGATTACGAGAATGATAACTTTCGCGTAATGATTACTGCTGTCGACGGATACCTAACAGGGATAAAATAAAAACGGGAAATTATTCTTGAGAGAGGTTTTAAAAATTTAAGGCAAGCTCTTGGGGCAAGAGCTCGACAACTCTAGCAACAAGAAAATGAAAGACAACTTTTGCAACTTTTTACAAACCAGCTCAACTCTGGATCAATAAGATATTTTTTCAGAATAAAAATCCTGTATTTGAGCGACTGAATTCTGTGATTCCAAAATAGCTATAATAAAGTGGCAATTGAAATTCGTTACATGTACGTGCAATTTTGGTTGACATTGAAGGAAGAAAGTTGGGATTGAATTGATTGACAGGAAAGTCGCGAGAGCACAAGAAAAAAAAAAATACTGGAGAAAGTGAAAGAATGAAAACACGCAACGAAGCAAAAAAAAAAAAAAGTATTGAAGAGTACAAAACTAGGCCCTGAAAATAAAAATCGCGACAGTTCGTAAGAAGTAAGCGGAAGATTACGAGCGTGGCAGCCTTCTTGTACTGGTTACTGCAATTAAGCTATACCTAACCGAGAAAGTAAGCAAACGTTCGGTGTGTCACAACAGAAAGTTTAGAAGTTCGAAGCAAGTTCCTGGAGAAACACCCCAACACGCCGGCAGCAACGTGAAAGCAAGCGGCCGAGCAGCTGCTTAGTCTCTAAGGCACTCTTTGCCTTTAAGGACCATTACTCCTTCAAGATGTTTGAACAAATTTAAACGGAACCTGGAGACCCATTTATTTTTGGCTAGGCTTTGAAACATTTACTCGTGTTGATTAATCCCAAATTGCACTCGAAAGCATGTGATAAGCTAATCCACTTATTTAGATCACTATTTTATATAAACATGTAAAGATTATGACAAGGAAACGGCACATAGAAAATGTAAATCCAAGAGAGGAATATATCAAATTGCTTGACAGCAACAGATCACCAGACAAAAGACTAAATTCAAATCCAGAAAAAAATCTTCTTATAGGGACTTGGGTAACAACCAGATAGAGGAGCTACCGCCAGGAGTCTTCAATAAAAACACCGAGTTGACTGAGCTGTAAGTAACACATTCATAGGTCCATATTCGATACCATCGATTCTTATTTATTGTAATTGATAGTATCTATCACTACACGTTTTGATACATTTATAAGCAGCTAGCTCTTTAATTAGCTGCGTCAGTCAGAGAATAGTAACTTGCAATAGTATATTGAGAGAGAAACCTTTCCCTGCTAGGGTTATGCGTCAAACCTTAAAATGAGACAAAAAAATTAAATGAAACAAAAAAATATTTAACTTGTAAGACAGTGCTCGAGCTTATAGAGGGTGAAGTCAACCATGAGAAGAGCATTTTTTGTGGACGGACAGAGTTAAGAAAAGTAAATATACACATTGAAGAATTCTTTCAGTTTCATTGTCGGTGCTCCTTGTTATGAAAATCCTATTTCTAAACAAGTTTTCAAAGATTTGACTGAACTGAACGACATGTGAGTTTAGTCAATACAATACAATGTGTTTATAAAAGTGTTGGCTCTTTATCAATTTTCTGTTCCTTATATCAGAGATGATAAAAGAGGCCAAGTGACCATGTCACAATCAATTGCAACATGGCAATCCTAAGACGATTGTCCATCATAAAAGGCAGGTTTACCGAAAGCTTATAGCGTTGAAATTCACTGGTCTCGGGTTCTGACCAGTGGGCGTTCCTCATTAGTATTGGGTTGCACTACTCTACATCATTTCCCTCCCATCAGTTGGTGTTACTTGAGTAAAGAGCATGAAAACTATCCACAGTAGCTTGGTGCACTTTCATCATAATTGTAATGTTACAGCAACATAGCATGCTACAAGTGCCCGTGAAACGCAGCGAAAGAATTCAGAGTGTTTTCCCACTGTTTCACTTTTTGTGGGATTTACATTTCGGATGGCGCTATTTTTTTTTGAAAGACTAATGCATTTTACCCTGAAACTTTCAGGGATCTGTCTAATAATGAAGTTGAGGATCTCCCTCAAGAAATTTTCAGCAATCTGGCAAATATCATAAAACTGTAAGTCAACAAGAAAAACAAATAAAAGAAAATGAAAAGCACGACGAGAAATGAAATTTTCTCTCTAAAATTTGTCGAACGGCAAAACTTTCCGCGTTTCTGTCTGAATTTCAACGCACATACACAAAAATAGAGGTTTTGAACTTAAAATCGAGTTTTCATTAAATGTTATCACTCCAAATGTCCTTCGAGTTGATCTAATTAAAACTGTTCATTAAAACGTGTCTCACTGAATGAATGCAAAACACACATATTTATATTACACAGATATGTAAGCATATCGTTATTTGGATCTTATCGGTTGCCATCATTATCTACGGGAAACCAGTTCTGCTTTGCAGTTAAAGGTAGTGTGTGTTTAACTGTTGCAGGCTTTTATCAAACAACCAACTAAGAGATTTACCGCCAACGGTATTTGCTAACCTAACCAAGCTAAAGACAATGTGAGTTGTAAAAAATGGTTTGAATGACTGAATAATTGTAAAGGAGGATTATCCTCTCTTTCTAATTAATAGTCGATTGATCGATTCATGGAATGATGAATTTTTGGGATTAAAAAAAAAAAAAGAAAACGAAAACATTTGCAGCACATCTCAAAAGATACCCAATGTAAAGTACGAAGATGTAGTTGTTTAGGGGGACTTTCTAAGAATTGCTTTTGAATTCGATAATTCTGGAGCTATTGAGGTCAAAGACAGATTTATTCAGTTGATATAATTAATTGCCAAAATAAATCGAAGATTGCTCTCGTTTTACTTTATTCCCTCTCTGATCAATCTAAAAACCTGTGCCACCCTATCAACCAATCGGGCACCAAACCAAAATCCAAACGTCACTTGATAACTCGCATTTTCCGGCGCGTGAGGCTTTGTGCTTGAATTTTTTGTACTTTTAATGTACACTGGTTCCTTAGCCTCCCTTTGCTTTGATTGGTTATTGTGATTACTCTAAGTACCGACCACTCATATAACATTCAACGTTTAAATTAAAAGAAAACTGGCCAAGAACATATCCGTGATTTGCACTTCAACAGAAAAATTGAAAAGAATGAGATAAAGGAGCTGCATCCTCAACAGTTTCGGGGACTGGTAAAGCTGTCTGACCTGTGAGTAGTTCGTTAACATTTATGTATTCCACAAGTTTTGAATTTGTTCATTACTTCAAGGCGAATAATGTCTACTCCGATCCACCTTTTCATGTTTTTAAGACATCCCTTCATTTCCTGGAATTTCTGATTTTAAGTCACGATGAGGGTCTATGTAGGACCTTTTTCTTGATGCTAACGATACATCACGCGAGTGGCTTTTCAGTACCAAGTTTATTTTGTTATACATCCTTGGAAATTTTTCAATTCATGCCTGACAATACGCCTTAAAAGAAATCTCCTGATTCCCAGCCCATCAATTATCTTTCTCCAAAAATTTCTCGTAATTATATTGCAAAACGTTAGTGAGCATTCTCATGATCCCTTTGATTCCTATGAAAACGATTACAAATGCCCCGTTCTTTAATCCATTATGTCCAACATTCATTTCATTTGTTTCCTTTCTTCACTAGCTATCTATCGGGGAACAAACTCAGATACTTCCCACAAGGAATTTTTAAAGGCTTAAAAGAGCTTTTGATTATGTAAGTAGACTATGAAATTCTTCAAGTGAGTAATAAGCTTTGAAATAACCTATAACGATCATGACATTTGAATGCATTTAATTTCACCTTTAAATGATTATTTACACATCAATGTCGAAATATTTTACCTTCCCTGTTACTCTATATGATTAAGTTTCACTTTCTTTTTGTTAGAGAAATTGTTGAAAACGAAATGACTCATGTCTCCATCGACAACTTCAAAGAAATTAAACAGTTAAAAATTCTGTGAGTGTTATAATTAATCAAGTGATGACCAAGTTGTGAAACGGACCTTGTTACCTTAAGGTGTAATATTTCACAATTGAAACATTATGAAAACACTTCAAATCGATGCTTTTATTGTAAAAGCGGAAATGCTTTCCTGACAGCAGATTGATTATTTGCTGAGTGAGAGTAAGTTTGTAAAGAAACTTTAGTGCTGCGTCGGCGCAGGGCATTTCAAGATATTTGGTGTCATTCTACATCGCAACTCTGATTGGTTGAGAGCGTACAGTCAATATACAAAAGCGTGTGAAGTTGACATGATAACCGATATATCCATCAGGTATTGAGTTATCATGTGGAGTTCAAAGTCTGACTAGTTTCCAAGCCCCTCGTCAGTGTAACGTCCTGAAACTTTTGCAAAGTCAGAGAGAAATGTCTTCTTTCTCAGAGTTTTTTAAAAATGTACATTAAAACAGATAATGATTTCGCTTTTCCCATGATATCATGGGCTGCAAAACCCTGTGTCTGCTTTAAATGCCTCAGCCTCCGCCTTCGGGAGATAACCCAGACTTCAGCATTATGATAATATCATGACCAATCTTATCCAATGTTTAATTATTATCAAGTGAGTTAGCGATGTAAATTGGCCACCCTGAATAGCCTCAAAAGCGGACGCCTGAGCATTAGCCCTTCGTACAAGAATAGAGGAATTGTAAGTTGTAGGTGGTTTAGAAACAGGAAAAGACGCTTCGCGATTACAGGGAACCTGATCATGAAATAAACACGAATAAATTAGTTAAATGAAAGACTTCGTTGACATTGTGGGATTAAGAGAGCCTATTTGAAAGATTAATTTTTGTTGTGGAGTTTTGCGGCTTTTGATCACTACATTTTAATCTCCTAATTTAATTTCCAGGTATATGCAGTATAACAAGATGAGGGAGATTCCATATGGTTTTTTCGATATGTTGAAGGATATACAACGAGTGTAAGATTTTGATAAAATTCATTCGCAAATTATTAGTTTTTGAGCAAAGCTACACATTTTGAGTAGACAACATTTTGGGGAAACTCAAGTTTTTGCAAAAAGAATTGAAGATTTGGATTCTTAAAAAAAATATTTTGTATAAGTCAATGGAGAACTCCAGCCATCAGTTACTGATATATGCTTAAAAGCAAGTTCTGTGAAGTTTTAATGAAATAACTTCAGTGGATGATATTTTACAATTGTAGGAGTCTCGACACAAATCTGATGTGTTGTCATATGCACAAGGAGGACGCTGACTGTGCTTTCACGTACAACGACGACTTTGCCAACTGTGAGAGCATGTTTAAGAATTCTGCCCCAAGGAAGAGTATCTGGGTGATAGGAGTACTTTCTCTGGTTGGTGCAGTGTTTGTTGTCACTTGGCGAGTGATCTTTAAAGAAAAGAACGTGGTTCAGTCCATCATGTTGCTCCACTTAGCAGTGTCCGATGGTTTGATGGGTATTTACCTGATCTCTCTTGGCACTAAAGATTTGTTGTGGAGAGGAGAGTATTACTTGCATGACTTCCAGTGGAGGTCTGGTTTGTCTTGTCAAATAATTGGAGCGATTTCCCTTCTGTCAAGTGAGGTTTCGGTTATGATGATGACACTGATATCTGCTGATCGGCTTAAAAACATTGTGTTTCCTTACCAAGGTGCTTCTCTGAAATCAAAGGCAACACATATGCTGTGCATCATCATATGGGCAGTTGGCTTCCTTATGGCCTTTTTGCCTATGTTTGGTGTTCAGTATTTTGAAGACCCATTCAGGTACCATAGTTACTATGGTAGAAGTGTGGTATGTCTGCCCTTGCAGCTTACTTCTGATAAGCCGGCAGGTTGGGAGTATTCTGTTGCTATCTTTCTCGCTTTGAATTTTGCTTTTTTCTTGTTCATCATGGGTGCTTATCTCATGATACTAGTCAAGTCTTACTTGTCTAGCCGGCGACTGGCCCGTCAGGGTACTGAAAGAGAGATCCAGGCCAGAAGAGCAAACTTTAGGAGGGAAACGGCTCTTGCAAGGCGGGTGTTCTTCATCATCCTGAGTGATTGTGTGTGCTGGATGCCGGTGATAGTGATTGGTATGAGGACCATCATCGAGAAGTCTTACGAAGCGCAAGGAGACCTCGCTGTCTGGATTGCTGTATTTGCCCTTCCGATCAATTCGGCCTTGAATCCTATCCTGTACACCTTGTCAACAGAACAGGTGCGTTATGCGCTTTTAACCCATTATAAGTAATCAAGATAATAAAATCCGTAAGTAGACTTATAACGGCTGGGTACAGGAAGGGTAATGGTTTTCAGCCGACTATAAGCAGTGTATAATAGCGCTCAAGACTGCTTTGTTCACCTGCAATTGATACTGACAATGTTTCAAAAGCATTGGATAGCAGAAATTCGTTAGTTTCTATTTTGTCATCGGAACTCAGCTAAAGGCAGTGAGCGAAATCTCGATCAGTTTTGGCTATTTTGTATCCAGGTCAGAGGCATTCTGAAGAGCAAAATGGACAAAGTCTGGAACTACTTGAAGACCGTTTTCACCTGCTGTGGTCGGGATCAGGAAGGTGCGATACAATTATAAGCTCCTGATAAGAAATAAACCGAAAAACGATGTAAACTAACAGATTGCTGCAAACACAGTTTATTGATCTATTGATTTGTTCATTCAGTCACTCAGTCATAAATCAACTCACTCATGCATGCATAGAGGCATTCATTTAATCATTTACTCGCTCGTTCGGTCCATCGTTCTTTTATTGGTCGGTTCATTTGTTGTACGAACTAAATATTTCCCGACTCGATCATTGACTTTTCTTCGTTGTTTTCTTTAAAAGGCCAAGGAGATGGGGAACAACCGAACCAACCGGGAGCAGAAGACAATGGACAACATGGCGGCGAGGGAGGTAGATCCTTACCCGTATTTCTAGAAATACCGTGAAAACTATAAACGAGGGAAATAAAGGGCAATCTGTGACTAAAAATATTTTTTATGTCTTCTCTCTTCTTTTTATGTTCCCTGTTTTTTTTTTTTTTTTTTAATTTTAAAATTAAAGGCCAAGGAGAGGGAGAGCAAGTTAACCAGCACGGAATGGAAGAAAATGTAGAACATAGGGGCGAGGGAGGTAAAAACCTTTCAGATGTCAGTTAACATATCATACAAAGTTCAAACGAGGGCGCAGGGTTAGTCTGTGTACATTTTTTATCTACTTTCTCTTTTCAAGGACAAATTGAGGGTGAAGATATCGAATTGGCGAGTGTTGGTGTGCATCATCCACAACAGGGTAAGGTTAGAGTTTCTAATTCAATGTCAAGTTTTCAATGCTATTCTGTTCCTCTATAACTGAAGGATCTATATGACTTTAGGATATTTTCATACACACAAATAAATTTTATCATTATCATTTTAATTACCCAACCTTTCTTGTCTATTACGTTTTAGTAGTTTGAAATTGTAGATCTCGTTCTACGTTCGTCACAAAAAATCCTTCGTTCTTATTTGTTTCTTGGCTCGTTCGCAATTTTTTTCTTTGCTTTCTTTAAAAAGGCCAAGGAGATGGAGAACAACTGAACCCACAGGGAATGGAAGACATTGAACAATATAGCGGCTTGGGAGGTAAGACATTTTTTCCTTCTAGTGAACACAGTAAGGACATGAAAACTGTGAAGGACAACACAGTGCAATCTCTGACTATATTTTTTATTAACTATTTTCTTCAAGGGGAAGTCGAGGGTGTAGTTATCGAACTGGCTCATGTTGATGTGCGTCATCCACAACAGGGTAGGCTAAAGTTTCTCCTCTAATGTCATCTTTATGTAGATAAAAGTTCCGTACTGAAGTTTTCGTTGCTGTTCTGTTAGCTTGTATTGCCAAGACTCTACAATATGTTGTATTGATGGTAGTTTTTATTTTGTTTTCTACTTCTGGAGGGATCTGGGTCAGATGGATATTTTCGTACACACAAATCAATACAGTTCATTTACATCATTATAGTTATCCACCCCTCATTGTTCATTACGTTAGTTCTAAATTCTACGGTTCTCGTGTTCTAACTCAATTTTGTAAGGTTTAAAAGTTTTGAAAAATTTCTTTGTTATTTTGTCCCCAGTTATTGTCATTATTTGAAATAAAGAAAAACAAAATAGTCTGACTTGATTCTGAAACACTAATAATTAGATAATGGAAAATAAGGTACAATATTCTTCATTAGTTTAAAATAGAAAGAATGACAGTGTTTACCTTTTTGTTTCAAGGAGTACTTGATGAAGCCGAAAGAATCGAACCGGCACCTATTGAGAATACTGATCTAAATCAAGGTAACTTGTCTTACCTTCTTTATTAAAAATGTATAGCCAACCTTGTTTTTTTTTTAGAAAATTGGCCGCTATTCTTTTTTTGTTTGACAACTCATTCAGTGTTACTGTGGTAGAGATACACAAACCTTCTAAGGTCTATTAAGCTCTCCTGCGTATCGATCAGCTCAGAGTCTCATTACCTCCCTTAGGTATTGCCAAGCTCTAAATGAAGCAAATTTTTAATTTCACATTTGGCTTTCTTACCACTATAACTGGTGGTCAAATCAAAGAATATCAATTATCCTCAAACAGGACTAAGAGATGAAATTTTTTAATGCAAATGAGCAAAATTTGGGCGCAATAAATTCAGATTTTGCATAACAGGTGGCGGCCAAAATGAACGGCAATAAGTATGAAAACATCAAGTTGAGTATAGATTCACGTAATTCTCATTTGGGAGCTTTAACATTCTTATGCAATTCTTTCAAGAAAATTGCCAAGCAAAAGATAAAAAAGACCAAACACTTAAGAAATCCTAAAGTTTGACATGAATCTATTATGTGTAATATTACAAGTGTTTGATAACTGGTAATTGAAATGTCACAACCACGAAAGCAGGGTATTTCGGGTCTTTTATCCGTTTTTAATTTGGCTTTGGGTTTCTTTCGCAAAAAGTGCAATGTTCTGTTGCGAATTTTGTTGAGTCTCGATAGAAAAGAAAAGGCCATTAAATATGCCCGATGCAAATTTCTTTGGCAAAAAACAGTTTTTCATGTAATAATTACTTCCACTTTATTATTCTATCCTCTTTGTTTCGCCGACATTTTGCAAAAAATTGTAATTTTTTCGTTCTTATTTTTATTCATTTTTTCCTTTATTTGCCGTTTCATCAAATAAACAAATTTTGTTGCGAATTTATTTGGAATACCTCGGTAAAATAAAACAGCAACAACAAACAAACCAACAAAACAAAACGAAAGCAGCCAATTCGGTTTATTTCTCCAGCATTACCTCGCGGATTACCCTACAGTTATCAATTTATTTGTGTCTTTCTTACATTTAGAGTGTCGTTAACCAGTTTCATCAAGTTAAGCAGTTGCCACAGCGCATTAAGTACCTTATCAAATATGTAATTTTTACTTTGTTTTTTTAATGTTAGGAAAACGGAACAAGAGTTTGAAAAAAGGGGACGGTAAATTCAGGCATTCCACCGCAAAGAAGTAAGTGGTGAGAAGGGGGATATACACAGGTTCAAATTCCTCCAGAGATATAAACTGTCCGTATAACAAAGTTGACGGACGTTGTCACCGACAAACTAACTGCTGAATTATTTGAATTACTGACTTATTTGCAAACTAGCTAGCTCCTTAACCTACTGACTAGACGGTTGAAAGAGTGACTGTCGCTAGCGGACTTACCTCACTGACTAACTAACTCACTAACTTCCTTACTCACTGATTAACCAGCTGACAGACTGACTGACTGAATTACTGACAAAAATGACTGAGCAACTGATAAACCAACAAACTGACTACTTGACCGACTGAAACGAATGCTGAACAACCGCCAGAACAACTGTGTGCCCAACCTAGCAGTCAACCGAAAGATTGATTGATAGTTTATTTTATTGACTGATTGACCGACTGATTAAATGACAGAACGGGGCTTTTTACATAAATAATTCTTTTGCAAGATTATAGAGATTGAGCGTTCCTTTTCTTTTCCTTGTTTTACTTTTGTTTTGTTTTTTTTTAACAGAAAAAGGGAAAAATCAAGATCAATGCGTCGAAAGTCACCTTCGGCAACCGAAGATATCGATGAAGAACACACTTTTGAAGAGGACACAAAACTGTAGGCAGTTAAATTCGAGGAAATTATTATAAATTCTAAGCAAGCTAACGAGAAGAAATGGCAATTAGAAATCGATAATCTCGTCTTTGTTTTTTATTAAGCGTATGAGATACAAAATAGAAAAAAACAGTTTTGTTAATTTTGCGTCTATTTAGAGGTAAACAAGGACTTAGTTATATTGAACCAATCTGTGTACGTAACTTAGTTGAACCAAATTTCACTCGATCTTTGGCTGTCTTTAAAAAAATCCCTAACAAAACGATTTTTTTTCTAACGATAAGTTATAAGTTTTTAGATTTAGACAATTTAATTGAGTTAGTGTTTCATATCCATGACTGATATGGTCTCCATGGCCACTTCACATATCAGTGACATCATCTTATGGATCGTGTCTACAGTCACAAGAAGTTTCAGCTTTCCCTCAGCTAAACAAAAACACCCATGCGGTTGATTGGGATCCTTTAAGACACCTGCTATGAGGAGTCTTTTGAGGACAAATTAAGACAGCTGAAGATGGGAAGCGCATTAAAGGTAGAATTAAGTAATTGAATTCTGTTAATTGGCTTACAACGAGAGGATGTAATACCAAGAATTGTTATGGGAAGTCATTATCAAATATTAACTTCTAGAGTGCCCTTTCACGGTGACTTGGAGGTTATGTAACTATGATGCCATTCTACCAGAATTTTAGTGTTTTGGGCCGGCGGAATGTTCTAAAATACGTTTCAAGAATTTAGTAATCTAGGAGTAATTATGCGTTTCAAGCTAAACTGAGAGAGAGAGCCACTATGATGTACATCAAAGATTGTGCATTTAAAAGATATTGGGTAAAAACAGTGAGTTTGTGTCAGTGGAGAACTAAGGAACAGTCTGTAGTGGTTTGTAGAAGATAATCACGGTATCGCCTAAAGGAGTCGCTTCTTAGTAAGCATTTTTACGCATTGTTTAACAACGTAGTTCGGTTTGTAGTAGTGTAGGATTCTTTCTGTCTGTTAGAAAATACCGTGACATAAGATTCCAAAGTGGTTTTCAAGAGTTTTGATTTGATGTTTGCTCATTTTTCCTGCTTGATTATGTGCTTCATTATTAGAACAATACCAGGTTTTTCTTCATATTTTCTGCAGAGTTCAGAAAATGCATGCTTTCTGACTCATTGGATTATATAACATGTTGACCCTCATTAAAAACAAAAATAATAACCTATGTGCTTATATGAGATAAGAAAACTTTAATTAGTGAAGTTTTAGCAAATTGATCCATTGGCATATCAAAGACGGTGCACCACTCAGCTCATAGAGGTTGATTAAAAATTTTCGTTCTTAGTAATTAGATAATAATATAAATGCTGTATTCAATTGGATTATTATTGTCATTATTATGATAAAATAAAAATAACGAGAGGGATCAATAACACCTTGGCTATTTGAAGTTGTGTTTATTTTGTATACTTGGATATTTGTAGATGAGGCGAGTGTTTACAAACAGAAAATCAGTATGCAACAACGATGGAGTTATTTCTATTTCAGAAGGATAGCGCTTGGAGCTAATACAGTATAGTTTTAACTCGGCTTTGAACTTTGGCTATCGTCTGACAAGAGTTGAATAAGAACGCTAATTCACGTTATTATAACGTGATCCTCAAAGACAAAAGTAAATGGGTAGTCCGAGTTTTGAAGGTTTTCATGTACGAAAACAAGAATCAAACACATTTAACACTCGTATAGTATGTATAGTTTCGTGTTCAAATAAAAAAAATAACAGAACAAAACAAAACAGGAAAGATGAAAAACATAGCCAAATTAGCATAAATATAAAAATTCATACTAATTACGTTGGTGTCAGAGCGACTGCAATCATGCTTAGGCCCCTCATTGCGATCTCCGCTCATCGCAAGGGAGAAAGGCTCAGAAGTTACATCGGCCGCCATTTGAGTGAAAAACGAAGAGCTTGCTCTCATGCCCTTTCCAATTTCTAAAGGAAATTTTGTATTCTATTACCAAAAATGTATTATTGTGCGTGACTAGATTTTTTCGAAAACGGCCGTACGAAGAATATCAATTAATCTTTCTTAAGCATTTCAACTAGCTACGAAGCTTACCAAGAATCTCGAATTTAAAAATTCAATCAAGTTTAACCAAGTTTTTTTTCTTTTGTTTTTTTAGTTTTGCTGGTAGCGTTCTCAAAACAAAGGAACTGTGATTCAGATGTAGTTAGAAAACTCTGCAAGAAAAAAATTAAAAGTCTATTGTAATTGATAAAAGCATGGTGAAGCTTTGCGATGTAAAATTTTACTTACAAAAATATGACGGATTTCATATTAAATAATGAAACTGTAACAAAATTCTTGAACGTGATTGGTTATCACCAGTCCGATTTGAGCTAATAGGACAGAGTAGGCGTCATGCTTGTAAATGTACAATGCAATAGGACAGTTAAAGGGACAGTTGACACGTCATGTCCGTGTAAGTTAACAGAACGCGTCGTGTGCGCGCGCTGTTATCTTGCATTTCGCCAAGTTAACTGTTGTTTCTTTTAAAAAACGTATAACCGATGTTTAGTTTCTTTCTAAAAGTTTGTAATTGTTTTGTTTGATGGGTGACGGGACTGCATGTCGTCCAATTGTGTCTGTAATCATACTCGTTAGTAACACATCGCTTCGCGGTGTCCGATTTTGTTAATCACTCGTATGATTACAGACCGAATTGGACTCCACTCGGTCCTATTACAAGTATTAATCAGGATCGTCAAAATTTCCTTGAATGTGATTGCTGGATGAATTGCCCTTTTTTAATTAATTTTTTGCAATGAATCCGATTTCATTTTCCGGCAAGTGACCGAATTGGACAAGAAATAAAATTAAAAATTCAACCTTTACAGAGTAACACTGAAGGCAGCCATTCTAATCTCCACAGATTTCTAAGTGAAAGCTGTGGTATAATGTGGATGCAAAAAGGATACTGAATGGCAAAAAAGCAAATTGCAAAATTAAAAATACATTATGTATTCTCTTCCATAACAGAAATCTCTCCCTGTTTATAAATTGTCCTACTAAAGATCCTGAAAATCGTCACGACGGGCGTTCGCTTTAATTAACTTTGACTTCTATAAAACTCAGGAAAATGAAGAGATCCAATCAATTGGATTGTGGTTTTGGTATAAGTATCTTAATTTCTCACAATGACAAGCAGTCAACGGCTTTCTCTTCAGAATTTAAAGATGTCTAAATGTTTAAAATAAGAGAAGAAATCCTTAAAGTAAGTGGATTTAACAAAAAGTGTTGGTTTCGTATAGATCAACCCTTATCGTATCGATAGCGGAATTTGTTATTAATTAGTCTTGAAGTTCGCACGAAACAAAGTATGCATGCATCAAGATTATTTAGTGATGAGATGCCTGAGCTTGACATCTGTAATCCAACATTTTCATCATAGGTTACAGAGTAAACATGCGTGTCTGCATATACAAAGGCCGTCCGAGTATTTTGCTATAATTGAACCAGCTTATTCTGAATAATTCTAACTTTAACGTATCCAGAGCCAAGGTTTCGAACACAAATCGCCAAAGCTTGATCATAGTTCCTTTTCGCCTCCTCATCGTGACCCTGATCATTGTGTGCGTCACCAATATTTTCATAAGTTTCTCCAACTTTAAGATGTTTCCGTCCGAGTTGTTTTAGGCAAATGTCCAGTGCAAGTACATGGTAGTCCATTGCTTGCTGGAAATCACTTACATTTCTGTATAGAGTACCCAGGTTATTGAAAGAATCTGCGACATCTACATGCTCAGGTCCGAGCTGTTTCAGACGAATGTCTAGTGCACGTGTATGGTAGTACTTTGCTTGCTGGAAATCAACTAGATCACTGTACACAGTACCCAGGTTATTGTAGGAAGATGCGACATTTCCATGCTCGGATCCAAGCTGTTTCAGACGAATTTCCAGTGCACGTGCATAGTTGTACTTTGCTTTCTGGAAACAGCCTAGATCACTGTACACAGTACCCAGGTTATTGTAAGAAGCTGCCACATCTACATGCTCAGGTCCGGGCTGTTTCACACGAATGTCCAGTGCACGTACGTGGTTGTGCTTTGCTCTCTGAAGATCACTTAGATTTCTGTATACAGTACCTAGGTTATTGTAAGAAGCTGCGACATCTATATGCTTAGGTCTGAGCTGTTTCACACGAATGTCCAGTGCACGTGCGAGGTAATCCTTTGCTTTCTGAAAATCACCAAGATCACTGAATACAGTACCCAGGTTATTGTAAGAGGCTGCCACATCTACATGCTTAGGTCCGAGCTGTTTCAGATAAATTTCTAGTGCACGTGCATGGTTATCTTTTGCTCTCTGGAAATCACCTAGATCACTGTATACAGTACCCAGGTTATTGTAAGAGGCTGCCACATCTACATGCTCAAGTCCCAGCTGTTTCAGACGAATGTCCAGTGCACGTACATAGTTGTCCTTTGCTTGCTGGAAATAACCTAGATCTCTGTATACAGTACCCAGGTTATTGTAGGAATCTGCGACAACTACATACTCAGATCCGAGCTGTTTCAGACGAATGTCCAGTGCACGCGCAAGGTAGACCTTTGCTTGGTGGAAATCACCTAGATCACCGTATACATACACCCAGGCTATTGTAAGAATTTGCTACATCTATATGCTAAGGTCCGAAATGTTTCAGACGGATGTCCAGTGCACGTGCATGGTAGTACTTTGCTTGGTGGAAATCACCTAGATCACTGTATAGTACCCAGGCTTTTGCAAGAAGTTGCAAAATCTGCATGCTTAGGTCCGAGCTCTTTCAGATTAATGTCCAATCCACGTACATGGTAGTCCTTTGCTCGCTGGAAATCACCTAGATTTCTGTATACAGTACCCACATTATTGTATGAAGTTGCGACAGCAACATGCTTAGGTCGGAGCTGTTTCAGACGAATGTCTAGTGTACGTGCAAGGCAGTCCTTTGCTTGGCGGAAATCACCTAAACCACTGTATACATTACCCAGGTTATTGTAAGAAGTTGCGACATCTATATGCCAGGGTCCGATATGTCTCAGACGAATGTCCAGTGCACGTGCATGGTAGTCCTTTGCTTTCTGGAAATCACCTAGATCGCTATATACAGTACCCAGGTTATTGTACGAGGCTGCGACATCTACATGCACAGGTCCGAGCTGTTTCAGATAAATGTCTAGTGCACGTGCATGGTTGTCCTTTGCTTGCTGGAAATTACTTAGATGACTGTATACAGTACCCAGGTTATTGTAAAAATCTGCGACATCTACATGCTCAGGTCCGAGCTGTTTTAGACGAATTTCCAGTTCACGTACATGGTAGTCCTTCGCTCGGCGGAAATCACGGAGATTACTGTATACAGTACCCAGGTTATTGTAAGAAGCTGCGACATGAGTTTGCTCAGGTCCAAGCTGTTTAAGACGAATGTCCAGTGCACGTGCATGGTAGTCCTTTGCTTTCTGGAAATCACTTAGATCACTATATACAATACCCAGGTTATTGTAAGAGGCTGCCACATCTACATGTTCAGGTCCGAGCTGTTTCAGGTAAATGTCTAGTGCACGTGCATGGTTTTCTTTTGGAAATCAGCTAGATCACTGTATACAGTATCCAGGTTATTGTAAGAAGCTGCGACATATACATGCTCAGGTCCAAGCTGCTTCAGATGAATGTCCAGTGCATGCGCATGATAGTTCTTCGCTTGCTCGAAGTTACCCTTACATTTGTGTGTGGTTCCCACAAGGAGATAGAGTTTTGCTTTTCCGAGAGCGTCGTTTGCATCACCTGAGTGTATGATTTTCAAGGCCACTTCGAAGTAGGTCATAGCAGCTTCGTATTCACAATGGTTGAGGCACACATTTCCTTGGATCAGAAGGTCATTAAGGTAATCTTGCAAGGGAATAACACCCATTTTGCTGACTTGAGATAATTCTTACATAGAGAACAGAGATGGCTGGATTTTAGTCTCCGGTTACTAAGAACTCAGCTAGTATGCAGCCATCTCAACAGAACAACCTTGGTCAATAACTCCAATTTATCGACCAGTAACACGGAGCTTGCGTGCTAATTTTGCCGCTGTGTTATGGTTCCTAAAAAAACGAACAGTATATGCGCAGAAGTTAGGGCATGACATATATAGAATTTTCTCGTAAGGCAACCCTCAAACACTCATTTAGGACTTGTTTCGAAACTGCTTTTCAGACCACTAAATTTTGGCAAAGATTCTAACATGTTTTGTCCTGGCATGTTATCTATCAGCCCTTTGAAACAGTTGTCGACTTAGTTCACTTGTCTACTGGAAATTTGTTTCGTATGGCACATTTAGGCTTCAAAACGTTTTTATCATACTGCATTGAAGATCACAACGTTCAGGTATTAAGTTTGAGTGCAACTATATTTGATGGCTTTTCTCGCATTTACGTAAAATGCTATAGGCTTACCCTGGCCATTCCTCCTGTTTTTCGGAACAGCTTCATTAACGAGTCGAAACGCAAGTTTCTCTGATGATTTGTCATTGTGTTCTTCGCATTATTCACCCGCTGATGAGTGAATAATGTTCATTAGCAGGGGAGGGCGCACCAATCAGTTACTGACATCAATAAAATAGCTAATTTTGTATCTACTGATTCAAGTCAATCACCTTTTTTTTTTCTTGTCATGTTATTAGCAGTTTATAAACTAAATATTGCTGTTTTAATGGGGGCCTTGTTTTGGCGTTGATCATTTCTATCCGGCTTGGGTCGAGCAATAATCCAAAATGTCACAGTTTCTTGTCTTGCTCCAATTCTTCAAAATTCTAACAGCTTTTACTATTACTACTAGTGAACAATATCGCAGATCTGATGAAAAGAATAATGTTTATTTTGTCGAGCATTTGAATAGAATGCTAAATATTGATCAACTGGTATCTTACAAAGTCTACGATTCAATGGCCTGTGGCCTTCACTGCATCCGACACGAACTTTGCATCTCTGTCAACTTTGCAGTTGAAGCGGATCTAACGGGACATTCCTGTGCGCTGCTGAAAGCGGACAGATTTCGATATCCCAACAAACTTAACTGGAACAACTCTTATCATCACTACAGTTTAGCGGTAAGGAAAAAGTTTATTAACGCTAAAATAATACCTAAAAACTCATATCAGATATGTTTCAGATTAAAACCTCGAGATGAATACTATTCAAACCGAAATTGAGGATTCCGTGGAATAAGCATACTCACAAAGAACAGAAACAAATATTTTAAGATGAATGTGTTACTTATAAAAGAAAGAACTAATCTGGTTGAAAATGAATGCGTCCTCACATAAGATTCTTTTGCAAAAACAAAGAAACGGCAAAAATTAAGAAAACATCAAGAGTTTCAAAAACGGTTTCAAATATACGCTTTAATGACTATTCTGGACAGGAAAAATATGTGTTGCTCATACATATCCATGGTTAATGCAGAGCTGTAATTTTGTTGTTGTCGGGCGGCCTAGTTTTTTCTTTCATTGACTAGGAATACCGGGCTAACTTTGACATTGTTTTTTTCTACACATCCAGTTCTTTCTATTGCTACCACTATCAGATTGAAAATATGAACCGACATGGTGCGTGCGCTTTCACGCGAAATAATTTAACTAGTGTTAAGTTCAACTGAGCGACAACTGATAAGTTCTTTTAAGTGCCTCCTGTTGCCATAGTGTCCTGACACTTAAACAGTAAAAAGAGGCACATGGTGTTTGGTCAAGCCGTCACCTATTGAATTAATCGGTAGCGTAAATCGTTTCCTATACAAAAAGAAATTATTAAGGATGGAAATTGGTAAAATCGCAGTGAAAACAACTTCTCAAACAATGGAGACTGTATGAAAAGATGGCCGTAATAAGAACCTTTTGTGCAAAATTAATTTTAATTTTCCGACATTCGCTCCTTCAAAGACATTAATAGCGGGATCTGGCTCCATGAAACAATTCCCCATAACACTGATTGGCAAAGTTAAATTGGGAAAGATGCACATTATGATAAGATTTGTTTCGAGTAATACCTTCAAAAAAAAAAAGAAAAAAGTGAAACAACTTCTCGCATAAACAATGTATGGCCTGCATGCAAAGAAGCAATGCCGATTTCATTTTCTCTTTGTTTATTTTCATTCCATACCTCTTTATCATCGATTGTATAATTTTCTTTTCTTTTCCCGGTGAACCTACAAAAAACCCCTTCTATCAAGGTCTTCAAATACAGTACTTTACTTATCGAACTACTTCAATCATGCTAGTTCAATTTCTTGTGGAATAATCACGGCAGCCGATCAGAACAGAGGGCGATTTTACGGAAAGCCTCATCATTTACTTAACAACTATTCACGGAAGCATAGGTGGCTAATGAGTGATATTTACATAGGCGCACGACGGTGAGGTAAATATCCACTGCGCACCACCAATACTGAGATGTAATAGTATTAGTATATACTAAAACAGAGAGATAATATAGCACAAAAATATGATTTCAAAAGTGATTAGCAAAGGATAATCAGAATTTGAGTAGCCAATCAGAGCGCGCCTTCAATGCTATCCAGTGTTTCAATATATAATAAATAGAGAATAATACATGGGCGCGCATACTGAAGAGAAATTCTATATGTACAAGCAACCATGTATTAATTATTTTGTTTATCATGTAAACACAATAGCCCTTTACTGACTAGAAAATCATACAGTAGGTTGGCCCACTCAAGAGTAAACATTTGTTGAATTACTACAGAAAAAAAAAGGACGTAAGTTTAATATACAAATTCTCAGTTATTGACTTGGTCCTTACCAACATAAGAAATCTTTCAGGTAAATGAACAAAATCGGCCCGTGGCAAATCTTCCAGTTGTCTTTTTTCGTTCTCAGCCGCGAGAAATGACTTTACCTAAGGCTGAATATGTAACTTTCGGTTTTTGTTTCCGTAGTTTGGTTTTCTTTCTCTTCAAGGAAAGTTTGAACATCACTGTCTTAAAGCTACGCGGATTTTTCAGTGTTTTAGCAGCCATAATCCAAAAAAATTGCGACAAACTCGCGATGAATTATTCCTTTTTCAGAACTTATGCGACAACAAGCCCTGTGGTGGAATCAGATGCCGTCCGTTGTATGGATCAAACGGATATACATGTGAACGAACTTCAAGAATCATTGAAAAAGGTAACATTGCTCATTGCTAATCTTCCACATTATGATCTTACAGATAATAACACTGATAATAATAATAATTATTATTATTATTACATTGATAATAATATCATCAATAATAATACTGATTTGATTTGATATCTATAACACAAATTTAACCGTCCAGTCTCCAGAGCAGGGGCTGCGTGGACTCAAATTTGAATAACATGAATATTAATGACACTGATATTAATAATACCAATAATACAATTGTAAAATGATATTTATAATAACCTTCATGAGGTTTTTCAAAATAAAAGTTTATTTTTCTTAAGTTTAATTGGTTTCTTACGGAAACATCACAGTCAACATGGAGGCCTCAGTTACAAGGCAGAGTTTATTTGGCCATCAGAATCTTTTCTTCCCTATTCCATCTCTTTCTCTTTATTTTTTTTCCCCTTTTTTTGTTTCCCCTTTTCCCGTTCAAGTTAAATGAAATCAGTATTGTAATCACGTATCATTTTGAATCGAAGTCCGGTCCAGTTTCCTAATGAAGCCACTAACAATGATTTAAGCTCGCTGAGGTTGGTATCGCTGAACGATGTTATTCAGCTGGTGAAAATAATTCAGCTTGATCTACATATAACTTATAATTGGATTTGGCTCAGTGACAAAAAGCGTCCGCGATAATAAGCTTTAGACGAAGTACCATTGGCAAAAACAGAATGAACAAGAGCAAGCGATCAACATCTCATATTTTGTGCGTCTTTTCAGCTTTTCCTTGGCTCCAAGTCAACCCAAATAGAGTATGCTTCGGTGCTAAAGATGACTCCTATGGAGCATTCGCTGTCCCTTACGATGGCAATGTCGTATCCTTGAGGCTGGTTTACATTTCAGGATTTGTATCTTGCCAGTACCATACAATGCCTCAAGGAAGTCACTGGGGATGTACAAAGGAAAGTAAACTAGCAACCCTGGTGACAAATGAAAGAAACGAAGTGATTTTTCCACGCTACAATGATCGTAAAATTTATTCTTTAGCTGGCTATAACTACAACTCGCCAGAATTGATATTCAAATTATTCTCTCCTCCTCTGAAAGTGTTCTCTGGATATAAATTTCGCATATGGTACAGGCAGGATTTACTCAACTCTTCCGAAGGTAACAACGATGGCCAGACATGCGCTGATGTGTATGTGCTGATGAATTAATTCAACAGAAGCCGAA